CCTGGGGTGCCAGGCATCTCTGACGCTTAACTGATCCCCAGTGCGGGGAGGGTAAACAGGGGAAGTAACATTAACTATAACTTTTAAAAGACTATTTAAACTGCTATCTTTTTTAAAGGTTTGGCGAGAGTACGAACACTGCCCCAGAGCTCCATCTTCAACCGAGGATGGTTGAGAAGGAACTGGAGGACTTGGGTCATGCGCATGCTAGACGTGGTACCATGAGATGCCTGCTGCATATGCATGACCCACATGGACGCTGGTGCCATAAATCTCTGATTGACATCACCGGGACACACCGACACCTGAAGTGGAGCACTGAAAGGGACATCATTCGAAGAAGAAGTATCAGTTTCACTCTGCAGCTACTAAAGCTCTCAAATTCTTCAGGTCAGGGATAGCCCCACCATGAGGACTGCCTTGGGCCAGGAACCCTAGGGCCTCCATACACACAGGCCATCTGGCTCCCTGGGATGCAAGCTAGCCCAGAAGTCTGGAAGTTTGGGGTCCCTTGACTCTGAGTAGTCCACCTGGAAGGGCTGCCCCAGAGCTACAGACCCTGGGAGCTGATCCCAAGACACTCAAGCTCCTGGGTCCACAACAGGGAGCTTGGAAGCTGTGGCTAGAGCTGAGATTCTCAGGTTTCCAGGCTCCCTGCCATGAAGTCAGGATCTAAGCTCTGGTTAGAGTCAGGGCTCCCAAGTCTATCAAGCTCCCAACTCCATGGCAGGGATCCTGGAATCCCTGGCATGACAAGGCTGGCCCAGAGCCACAGACTATGGAAGCCCGGGGTTGCCTGGTCACTGGGCAGTCTACAAAGTGGAGCTCTCTCTCTCTCACCAGCTCCCAGAGCTAGTGGAAGGTGTGGAGGAAGAGAAGCTGGGCTCTGTGCCTCTCTGGGTCCGGTAGCTGCACCTCTCCAGCTCCCAGAGCTGCAGGGGAGGTTGAGTGTTCCTGCTCTCTGTCTCCAGAAAATTTGTTGAAAGTGAAATTGACAAGACGCTTCCAAGCAGGCAGCCAGGGAGCCCTCATTTCAATTTTCCCAACAGAAAATCAAAATCTTTCAGCAAAAGTGAAGTTCTTTCATGGAAAATTCTGCTTTTGCAAAAAAAAGCATATTTTTTTTTTTGGTCAGAAAACCATTTAGATGAAAATTTTGTGACCAGCTCTAATAGTGATTGTAACGCAATCCTATCAAATCTGGCACCTGATCTTGTAGCCAAGTCAAGGGCATGGTATTTAACAAAAGTAAGGGAATTACACCATATTGCTGCCTTGCAGATCTCAGATATGAGGACGTTCTAAAAACTGCAGAGGAGGCATCCTGTGCTTCTGACGTTTGGAGGGAGAGGCGTGCCAGCCATATGATAAACAGATTGAAATAACATGGGGTAATCCAGTGACATATTCTCTGGGAAGAAATGGCCCGCCCCTTAAAAGAGCTACTTATGGAAACAAAGAGAAGAGGAGCCTGCCTAAAGGGCTTCGTTCTATTAATACAACAAGGCACTAGAAACATCCAAATTGTGAGGTTTCTTTTTCCCTGGAGAGGAATGGGGTATTTGGAAAGAAAATGAGAAGATTAACAGATTTAAATGGAAGTCTGACACAATTTTGGGAAAAATTTGGGATGAAGACTCAACACCACCTTATCCCTGTGGAATATTGTGCAAGGTGGGTTAGCAGGAAGAGCTTGTGTAAGACCTCTCAGGTCTAGAACCCAGGCCTGCAGAGCTATCGCACAGTTAACATCTCCAGGCTGCCACTAAGTGGCAGCTGTAACCAACCGGCGCTCCACTTACCATGATTCACTGTGGACACCGACCACGGGAAGTTCCGCCTTAAGGGTTTGACAGGCAGCACTTCTGAATGGCTCCCTGCCCTATATAAACCCCAGGGTCATTTCAGGAAGTGTCCAGGAAACAGCGCGGATCTCTTGTAGCTGCCATGACTGTTCCTGTTCTATGCTCTTGAGCTCCTGGCTTGACCTCGGCTTGTTTTGGACTTCATCTCCTGACTCGGACCCTGAAACCTCAGTTGGACTCTAACCCTGACCTGGAACTGACTACAAACTCCTTAGCTACTCCTAGCCTCAGGTTTGCCCCTGCTTTGACCCTTGGCCCTGACTTCCCCTTGTTGGGATCCTGAAAGCTTAGAGTTTGCTGACTCTTCTGGCTGATGTAATGGTGATCAGAAAGGCCACCTTGAGAGCAAGGTGAGAGCATTCAGAGGGAGACTCAAAGAAGGGGCTCTGTGACACTTGTAAGAACAATACTGAGATCCCACATTGGAGGGAAGTGAGGGACAGTTGCATGTGCCCTTGGGTGAGGGGCACACAAGGACATGCACTGTGCAGGCTACAACTCATCAGACACTGCTATTCAAAGATTACACATGAACACCTAGCATGCGATCCACATGAACAGTATCCTCTATTGCCCAACCCAAAGGCACACACCTTATGTCTACTAAAATTACCATACACCTGAGCCCATACACCATAACCTTAACTCTGTTCTCATGCAGCAATTCCTTTAGTGAACCCACTCCAACACACCGGCCCTTATTTCTCTCCCTGCTCCACACACCCCAGGTTTCCTCCCTGTCCTCCATATTCCCCTCCCCCACTTTCTTCCCCCAAATACATACTTTCCCTCCCTTTCCCTTGTATTCCAAAAGCCTGAAAATTCACCTGCTCCTCACAGTTCTTATTTCTGCCCCATGACAGCATAAGGGAACCTCTTCCCTGAGGACAACGTGGCTTCACTCTCGATAGGACAATAGGAGATAGTGGCCATCTCTGCTAAGTACAACCTAAAAACTTCCTCCTGCAGCAGGTATAAGGAAATGGTAGCCATTTTAAATGAGGGAAACCTATGGCCTCTTTCCCACTGAGGATAATGGGAGATGGTAGCCATTTTTAACTTTGTTAGTTTCTCTGAAAAAGAAATGCACCAGTCACTGAAGAATAAACTCTCGGTTATAAAGATTAAAAGTGAAAAACTACCCTTAATCCTAAAGATTTGTTTTCAAAAACTACCTGTTGCATTAGATCTCCTCAAGGTTCAGCTGCCTGACAATATTGGTTTTAAAGATGCATGTCAACAATAAAACATGAGAACCCCTGAACAACCCAGAGACAAATTTCAAACACTTCCTATTGCAAATTTATTATACAAAACCAACCAAATACTACATACGAAATTCAAAGGGCATATAAAGTAACACTGGATGATGTTTTATACTTCAAGACCATCTATGTGTAGAGAAATGTATGCCCTATTTTAAGCCCAATTCAGAACATCTTAGCTATAGAGTCATAATAAGCACCTAAATCACAGAACATGCCATAGAAGAGAATCTGGGGGGAGGCTTCTGCAGTCTAGTACAGAATCCAGGCATACTTCCTGTTAAACTGCATAGCAAGCACATTAGTACTACGATAGCACGTGCTGTAGGATTTCATATACGTAGTGGGGCAGACTGTAGCAGCAGACGCTGCTGCTAGAACAGCACAAAGGGATCTGAAATCCCACTGACACAGCTACCGCCGCTCATTGAGGTGGTTTTATTATGTTGATGGGAGAGCTCTCTGATTTAGGGTCTGATCCTGCAAAGAATTAGGCACCTGAGTAACTTTACTCACATGAATAGCCCCATAGAACAAGCCCTTGAAATGTAAAGTTCACTTTTTAAATAATTAGGGATTTGTACAGATGAATTTAAGTTTTAAGTTACCACAATTTAAAATCAATATTGTAATATTTATGTGAAACAATCAAAATATTCTTGACAGGAGTACATTATTCACTTGCCTTTCCTCTTCTAATAGGAATCATATGAAAGGGAAACTAAGGAGGGGAATTCTTATTTGTTGCTTTTTGGAGAAATTAACTCTCTCAAATTGGAAAGAGAGTTTTACAAGAAACTTTAAAAAGAAAAATATAATAATTCACTTCCCAATCACAGGGTTTTTCTTCCAGTCAAAATGCATGTTAAATAGTCCCAATTTAAGGAATCTGAGTGGCTTTTAAAACACATGTTGTGAGAGTAGTGTTTTTTTGTTCAGGTTGGCAACAAAAATATTTTCAAAAGCAGTTTACTAGATTTTCTTTTGAGCAACCTAAACATCTTTTTTTGCTGGGTTACTTATTTTGTGGTGTTTATCAATCTTGGGACCAAGATAACAAAGCCCTCGCAGCTGATGTTAGAAAGAAACTTTCCTGTTACAAAGGGACTTCAATTAAATTTAATGTTTAAATTTAATATTTCCATTAATCACTCCAACAATACACGCACAGACCTTAATGTGTATTTATGACATTCATCATCAGTGCAAAAGAAACTGCCTGTTATAAAACAGGCCACCTGGGTCAATGTTAGCACTCATGAGACAACCAGTGGTTAACTGCAGTATAAGATTCATAAGCTGTTGACCCTGATAGAGCCTTCTAGATGAAATATATAAGTAATAATTTTTACTGGTAATGAACTACCGAGCAATACCTTTTTCCCCATAAATTTATTAGGGGAGCATATTTTGTTCCAGCAATGCCACCGCTGACCTTTATGAGTTGTCTTATAGAACAGAGATGCCAAAAAAATATGCAAAACAAATAATACAGTGGACCTTATAAATCTTAATATTTGGTAACACAAAAGGTTTCAAGACCAAGTAGTCAAAAATGGACACCTAAAGTTAGGTTTCTAAATAAGTGGCCTGATTTTCCAAAGTGCTGAGCTTCTAGCAATTCCTACTATCTTCAGTGGGAGGTGCTGGGTGTTCAGTCCATTTGATAATCAGACCACTTAGGTGACAAAATATGCATTTAGGAGACTAACTTTAGGTTCCCATTTTGAACATCTTGGCCCAATTGTTTAGATGATCTTTTCCATCCCTAGAAAATATCAGATTAGCATTTGAATGACTAAGTCTACACAGAAACATGTCTCACCACTGAACAATAAATCAGACTATTCTAGTACTCCTCCATACATACCAGTGCTCCATTTTTGCTTGTCCAAAGACTGGGATTAGATTCAAGTCTAGTGACACAAACCACAAATTTGTCTGGAAATACACGCAGCTCTGTGCAAAACAACAAACCCCAAAAAGATTACATGTATCTTTCAGTATATAATATAGTTTTTAATAAGGGCAACGTATACGTGTACTACATTTTGTAAATCAAAGCAGCCGACATTTTAAAATGCAAATAATTCTTTTCTCCCTCCTCACTTTTTGCAATTCCCCACTCTCTCCTCCCACTTCACTTGTTTTGTTTTTGTTTTTTGGGGGTTTTTTTGGGTGGGGGAGTAAATCATTCATTTCTCAATAGGGCAGAGTAAGCTCAGTTCTCCAGAGAAAAGACTAGGCTGCAAATTAGTCCACCTGAGCCCCGGACAAATGTATCACATGGAACCCACAGGCAAGTCATTCAGCATGATTTCCTTTGTGCTAGTCTGATGATTCATCTTTTCATCTCAAAAATTTTGTCATGTTTATAACATCAGTATAATGTATAGCATGAAAATTGGACATAACATGGCATATGGAAAACATCTTTCAAACTATGACTAAGGTGATTTTAAAGTGTTTAAACGATTTATTACCATTTACCATCACGATCTCACATATCCTACTCCTAAAACACAGTTCCCAGAGTAAACACATAACAACAAAACTTCTTAATCATCTGAGATTACTAGAGGGAAGAGGATCCAGTAACAACAATTCTGAACCACTTATAAGAATAGAGTACATCAGGCATCACTCAATTTAGTAACAAAAATACTAGAGAGAGAGAGAGAGAGAGAGACAGAGAGGGTGTTCTGTTTTAGCAATCTAAAATTATTTCCACATCCATTAAAATGGCATATTTTTATTTAGGATTTATATGTGAAATTGTCAGACTTTTATAACAATGGGCCAGAACATCCTGTCTTATGGGAGGGGGAAGAGGTAAGATAGGCAGGAAAACAATGAGGCTGACCACACAGTTTCCCTCAGAACATCCCATCAAAGGGCAGCAAACAGGGGAGGAATATGGAGCTATCTGCATGGACGGCTGCTTCTCCACAAGACTGTGTTGTTTCATTGACAGCATGCTCTGTGCAGCCATTTGCCAAGTCCTCCTATGGCTGCTAAGCAGGAGCCATGAAGGTAACTTTACAAGAGTTAATGCTGTATTAATTACTACTAGATCTGTGGGTTGGTGCAGTGGCTTGTAGTCAGATCCCTATTCTTCTGGTCTCACCCACAAGCCCTGCAGAGCTCCAAGCAGAAAGGCTCCAGAGGAAATAAGGAGTGGTGCTGGGATGGGGCGTGGGGGCAGTAATCCCCACTTTCTGTACAGGAAGGAAAAGATGCATATGCAGGAGGGTTGCTCCTACCCTCAGATATTAAGCATTCTGACAGGGTGTTATTTCAGCTTTGACTGTAAAATGAACCAATGCAACACGAGTTTCAATTTTAAAATACAGAATTCTACTTAGATAATAATCAATGTGTTCTTTTTGATTGCGGTATTACATGTATCCTGACTAAAAGAACTGCTGAGGCCGAAGTGTTTATTAGCTCAGGAAATATACTTATTAGAGTGCAGCAGCAGCTTTTATTAATAATAAAAATTATTATTAATGACAAAGAAACAACAACAAATTTTGGCCACTGTCTTTCAACGACCTCTGTGTGGGAGCAGGGGGCTCTATTCATGTGGCGCTCGTTACAGGATCGTGGCCTTAGAATTTTTTCTGATAGTATTGGTAGATCAAATACATTTTAGTTTGGCTGTTTTAACTGTTACATTTTGCCAGATAGTCTCTTGCTGGTTAACAAAACAAATCTGTCACTAGACTACAATACTTCCTGTAAAATTCCAATAAAGCTTAGATCCAAAACAAATACAGTTTTGATGTAAAAGACATTATTACAGTATAATCTAATATTCCAAAACAGCCATGAAAATGTACAACTTTGCTGAAATACTTAAAATCAACACTCTAATCTCTGCACTCACTATGAAGTTAGACAAAATTAGTAGTTAATTGAAACAGAAGAGACTTAACAAATGTCCATAAACATGGTAAATAAAACCCTATAAAATGTAAGAAACATTACTCTAAGATTGTTATTCAAGCAGTTAAAAGATTTTAAGGCCGCTTAGTTGATTTACTTTATTTTTCTTTTAAATTTAAAAGATCAACTGAAAGGGCAGTCATTGTTATGGTTCCTTTTTATTGTTGTTGAAGCAACAGGATTGATATCACTTCCTTACAGAGCATCTTGGCTTGGAAAAACATGAAGAAGAAAAATATCTGGCCCAATGACATCACCTATGTAGGGGTTTTACAGCAGTGGGCCCAATGAAAGCATTTGCTTGCATACACTTGTACCATACAGTTGATGCCATAAATGATATGATATGACTCATCGGAGTGCAACCTCTGGTCGATTCACCCTGTGGAGACTCAGTAAAATGCTAAGCCTCATCACAAATATCAAATCTGGTATGACTGAGCTGATTATTCTGGAGCAGGCAGAAAGCAACTTTAAAGTTAAATAAAACACACAAACAACTGTTTGGAAATATTTTTGATTAAAAAAAAATCCCACAACAATAACAGAAATTAATGAACTGAATCAAAATTCTAATAGAAACGCTGTGTTTATGATTTACTCCCTTCTCCCAATTGTGCTAAATGTTAAGTAACGGAATAAGAAACTGCCTGCTTACCGCGATACTGCTTCCCCACCACACAACGGAGATTGACCCATCTCTTTATGAAGTAGGCTGTAATGTGAAAATTGCCACCTGAAACATTAAACAGAGTGATGTAATAAATGTAAGGGCATTCTGTTCTCACAGTGTGCTACACATCTCCTATAAAGATCTCCTGACTGTTTGGGGAAAGGAAGGCATAGCTCTCACTTACAAAATGTGCATCTCTCCAAAAGCAGTATTTTTAATAAAAACTTCTTAGAGTCAAGAATAAACTAACTAATGTGCAGCAGAGTAAAAAAAAAAAAAAAAAAAAAACCACTGGATTTTAAAATTGATCGGTTCTGCTATCCAATCACAGAAATTAATTTCAATAAATTAATTGCCCACAAAAGGTGCCAGACGAACAGCTCTGCAGACTAAGACCCTGTTCATTGTGACCCCATTGCACCCACACAAATCAAGAAAGCAACTGAAAATGTTCTTAACTAATTGCTTTTTAGAGAAAGACCCTGAGTTATGTAAAGTTTTTAAAAGTTTGGTATGGAGATGCCAGCTATGAGCAGATTCTGAATGATGCTAATCATCTGCCAATCCCATTCAGTTCAACAAGAAAAGCAGCACCCTTCAAGATCAGGCTACATTTAATCACAGTGATATATACTACGTGGTGATCAATAATTGTGCCCAGCCTCAGCATGGGTGAGCCAACAGGGAGGTATAGGGTGCAAAGGAGCCTCGTTCCCAGCGGCTGACCACACTTAGAATCCTTGTGCTATAAAGGTTCTGAAGGCTAGAAAGATGATCTTGTGCACTGGATTGCAACTCCAAAAAAATTGTGTTCTATTGTATTCTCTGCTTTGCCATCAACTTCCTGTGGGACCTTGGGCAAGTCACTTAGTTTCTCTGTGCCTCAGTTCAGTCTGTAAAGTAGGGATAATAATTCTTCCCTACCTCACAGGGATGTCACAAGGTACTCAGATACCTCGGTGACAAGTGCCACAGAAAAGCTTATAAATAAATATTGCCATTCTCAACTCTAGAAAGAAGGCAAGGGAAGACACAGGACCACATAGCCCCATCCCAATTCCAGCCAGGAGAGCTAACCAGGAGCAGAAGGTCCGGATGTTGACCACAGCACAAGGATGACAATGCAGCTTCATTCCCTCCTGCATGCTCCAGAGCTTCCCAGCTGGCACAGTGCCTCTGGGAGCAACCCCTGCAGTGGTGTTCCACCACACCATCCTTCATGCAATACCGTGCCTATTTACCATAATCAGTCCCTAAATAATTTATCAGCTATCTTTTTCCATTCGGAAGACAACTGAATACTTGACTCCCTTTAAAGATCGAGTCAAGATGTATCAAGTTAAGCCACCCTTTAAAGAGAAGGAACACTTTGGATGCAGTCCATCACCTTTATTAGTTGCATATTTACAGCACATGATTAAAGAAAATTGTTGTTAGGTATTTCCAGTTTGGCACCCGCTATCCTTTTGACACACTGTCAGTGGGGTTAGCCAAATCAAAGACAACAAGACTTTGCGCATTCTGTAGACAAAGTGTAAGTGTGACAGTACAATGCCTTCCACTGTGATCTCAAGAACAGTGGAACAGAGAGATGTCTGTAAAAACTAGAGCTGGCAAAAAAACAAGAATTCTATTTTGTGAAAAATTTCAAGGTTTCAAAGTTTGTTTTTGTTCCACATCCGAAACTAGACCTCTTAAAACTTTTCACAAAAAGCACACAAGAGCGACCCTCTGCAACAGCCAACAGTCTGAATCTGTCCGATTCAGAAGAGGGACTTGAACCTGGGTCTCTTATTCCAGATGAGTGCCCTAACCATTGGGCTAGTGGCTCTTCTCAGGTGCAGGGGGGGTGTTTCTCTCTCACACACACACACTCTCCCCCCACACCCGGATAAACCTTTCCAACAAAACTTTGATCTAAACTGACACATTTCCACAAACAGTTTCTATTTTGATGGATCGGTATTTTTAGATTAAAAATTCTTCCTTCTAAAAAAATCTTGACCATCTCTAGTAAAAACACAAATTTACCAACCAGTCTCTAAATGAGGAAAATGGATAACTAAATGAGGAAATCCTCTCCGCCTGAATGTACCTCACAACACTGAACAAGCACTTCACTTTCATCGTATTTTTTTATTAAAACATCAAACAAAAGGTGATAATATTTTACATTTCCCACCACACTCTAAAACACAATGCTTCATGCCCGAGATTCTTCTAAGAATGGGAGTGACAGATCTATCTGTTTAGTTTTCCTGCTGTTCTGGTGTCCTGTAAGAAGTAAGTCTTTAATCATATATGACCAACTAACAACCTGAGCAGAGTTTCAAATTGATCTTAACGACCTCTGATTTACAATATGTCTGCTCTTGGGAGTAAGACAAAACCCCCGCAGCTCTATGGTATTTTCAGTTCAGTTGCCCCTTGTTAGTGCATGATTTCAAGTTGACTTCTGTTGGTGACAGAGTCATACATGATATGTCCAAAATGTAATTTGAGATATTGTTAAATATGTCTCTTTAATTTTCCCCCCTTCATTGATTCTTCCTTTGTGGAACCTTTCTACCAGCAGGAAAGATATATTGTCATGAGGCTCTAATGGAAGCTCAATTAAATACCATTCTGCTGATCAGTCAGTAGGGGATACCATATCAGTATAGCAGCTCCAGCAGCCAAGGTTTACCACTTAAATGATTAATGCAGTCTGTGTCTGTTTGCATCAACTGGTACAATTGCTGCACCTCAGGAATAATTTTCTTCACTATTTCTTTTAGGAGGTGAAAAATATTTACATGCAATGATTTAAAACTTGTGTTCATCAAACCCGCCTAATAAATTGTTTTCTTCACAGTTGTATCAATATTTGAGTATTTAATGTATGATCGTGCAGTGAAAAGAAATTACAATGTAGACATTGTGTAGTCAGTTCTAGCAGTAAGTACACTTCTTTTTAAAGTGAAACCAATGCGTAAAAACTACTGTTGACAGCTCTAGAGACCAAAGTCCTCCATTTATCATGTTCATAACCCCTGTGGATAAAAGAGAAGGAACAGCATCAGCCATGGCTGATCAAGCTTTGCCACACTGCTTCACGAGAGTGCATCAACTCAGAACTGGAAGAACTCTCACTAATAGTAAGAGAGAAGTTCAGTCTTCATACCCATCCATTCTTCCACTCTTTGCTGAGAATGCTAGTAAGGGTGCCTGTTATTGCTAATTGTGGTCTGTGTTTTAAGATGTGGATAGCTGCATGCCAGGAATTGGGGTGTAATATATGTTAAAAGAACATTATATTCCATTTTTAACAAATATTTTTGAAAAACCTCTTGCTAGTGCATTAATGTCTTTGGAACTTCTGAACTGCTCCATCCAGTAACATCAGTTTGTTTTAGCAAAACTACAGCTGTGCCAATGTCAACTGATAATACAACAGCGCTGCAATGCTACTAACACTGTAGAGTTCTTTCTGCTTCTTCCAAGGAAAAATATCTGCAAATTACCTATTCTCTTCACAAGATCAAGAAATGAAGATACTAGAGAAATGCCTTCTTTTTCCTATCTGAAGAGCCTGTGCACTTTGCAACCTCCTACATGTAGGTTACTAACACAGAAATCGGAAAAATGTTTTCATGTTTACAGTAAATAACGCAGAAATGAGACTTCTATTGGGAGGAGGAGGATATTCTGATTTTGAAACTTTACATCTAAGTCATGATATCAGAGTTCCAAAAAAATTCCTGAGACACTGGAAACCAAAACATGACCGAATAAATACAGTCCTAGCAAGGATGCAGTTTAGTTTAAGAAACAATGTGCTCCAGTGAGTAATGCATTTTAAGGGAGTGGTAATTTGCCCTGCCTGATATATTTCACAGTCCCAGGACACTGAGAGGAAATATCAGACACTGAGTTTATACTGTAAAACTATCCAGCAACACTTGTTTTCCAAAGGAATTACAGCCAAGTTGACTTGAGCTTCCTACAAGGCTGCCAAGAAGAGCCTGTGGTACAGTGTATAACAGTGGAAAGCCCTCTCTCACGGCTATTAGAGACCATTCATCTGGGAGCCTGGGAAAATGCCTCTGAGCTGCTGAGTTATCTGGAATAGCCTGGCAGGTGTTCACTTCCCAGGAAAATCTGGCACCTGCTTGGCTCTGCTACTGAATTGTGCAAAGTCTTCTCCAAAACCACAAGACAGGCCTAAGAAGGCCGAATGCACTCAAAACATTTTCATACCTGACACTCCTACATTTCTGATTGTACAGCTTTTCTTGCTGTTTTCCAAAATATCTAATTTTTTCTCACGGCTCAGCCATTTTAAATTTCTGACATATTGTTTTGGATTAAAATTGCCCCTTTGATTTGAAAATACAACTTTTATATTTAAAATAGTTTAGTCCATGAAATATAAAAAATGTGAACTTGTTATATTAAATTGGAAAGGAAAAGTGATGTGTAGAATCTATAAATTCAGAACATTACATTGTTGCACAGATTAAATCCTAAATATAAAGCCTGAATTTTCAATATGCTGTATATTAATTTATAGAGATTAAGCTAATAACATTTACAGCAGATAGGGTTTTTCATCTTCAAAGTGTTCTACATACATTAAGTTAATATACTGAAAAGCAATGAGGTCTAACTTCTTAGCAACTATACTTCTTCATTCGGTATTATACCATCACATTAGTGAACGTATGTAAACTGAAGAGCCATGCTCATTCTGAACCTATTTTTTCGTCAATTTGTGTGTGTACCATGAAATTGATGTTTGCCAACATTTATTCAAAAAATCAAATCCTTTCAAGCCTAATTACGTTTAAGTTGACAATAGATCATGAACGAGGAGATGGGGACTACTTGCATTGAGTGAAGTTCTTCACATGCGGAAGTGTTTGCAGCATCAGATCCTATATATGTGCATTACGGCTGAGTTACAGTCACTAGGAGAAACATATTAAGGAATTTTCTTACTTTTGTAGACAGAAAATCTTACCCATTACATTGCATTAATGTAGCATTTTGCACTTAATTCTCTTGGCTGTCCCACCCTCCTC